GTGTGAACAGAATTAAACAACTATCTATTTAACATAGATAAAAACGCATTAGACAGAACTTCAGGCAGACACAAGCAAATGCATACAAAATCTTCTTTTTCCCAACATCCAATATCATTTAATTGAATTTTCACTCAAGTCATTAAGCCATCATTATAAAAAAAAAAATTATAAGTAGATAATTCTTCTTAGTACAAAGCATTAGAAACTCCACACAATATTGTTAAAATCATAGGGGTAATACAAATCCCCAGACCACTATTTTTATTTTATTTTTTGAATAGAATATAAATTCAAAGAGATAAACAAAGAAACAAGCAAGTGGATAAGGAATCCACAAGAGCAAAAGAGGACAACTAATCCCAGACTGCACTATAATTCTCAATGTTTTGCATCCATTATAAATGAGCACAACTAAATTCAGTGAATGTCAAGCGTAAACAGGGTTTCCAGTTTCTCCCGCATGATCAACCCTAACTTGGAAAAAGAAAAAAAGTGTTTTTCCACATTCTAAATATGGCTTACCTCAATCGCAGTTTCATGGGCTTGACTGTAAGCAAGGTGGAGGGGAAGCAGACCAGCAAGATGTTCAGAAGCCGCAGCCAACGCAGCTTTGATAGGCCTCCTGCATAAGGTAAGGGTTAACCATAGGATTATACGCCAATCAAAGTAGTGACTTCAAATCGGTTCAGAGTTCAAGCGTCATCTAAAGTAATCAGGCATACTATATCAGAAAAGGCACCAAATATTCTCTCGACTTACCGCATATTTTAAGAATGGGAACTTAAATGCAATTTTGTTGAAAAAGTAGTCAGTGAAAAGCACCAACAGGTTTGCAATTTGATGTTCCATTTTTCAGTTGTTTCAATATATGCCAAAAATTGGTACAAACCCATTGAATTCAAGTAATAAAATACACTCCTAGCAAACTATGTGTTCCCAAGTTAACTATTAGGCAAGCTATAAGCATTCAAAGTGCCTAAAGAAACACAAGAAGTCCATCTAAAGAAAACCAACTAAAACAACACAAGCAAAGCTACACTTAGAATAGAACAACCCAAACAAAACATAACAAGCAAGCCACACTTGGTACAAAGCTCCAGTCCAGTCTAACCACACTAAAGGGAGCATCTTTAAAGTTTTTAGACGAAGACACCCACCAAGCAAGACATCTAGTTTTGTCCTATAGAATCCAACAAGAAGGAATACTTGTCAAACATTCCATTTAAAAACCAAGAAAATGGAATGTTTAATCAAATAACATTCCATTTTCTAGAGATTTTCCATAAAAATCTGAGAAACGTTATCAGCAGGGCTGAAATTTAACCATCAGGAGACAAAAACATTATATGCCAGAAACACTAACCTCAAATCCCACAAAAGTGGCTGCCCATTACATTGCAGATGGCTCTCCCAGGATGAAGGCTCTGACTGAACAACAATAACCATATCAGAAAGTGCCTTTGCCTGATAATGCTTGTCAACCAACAATGGTTCACCATGGATGAACCAAAATATTGGAACTTCTAGTGTAGACCGGCTATGGGCAAGCTTCCCTACATAGTTTGTTGAAAAAGAATGCTTGTCAATTCCAGAACATCAAATGCATACATACAGAGGCACGCATTTAGTTATAGCTAATCCCAAGTGTTTGGCTCAATGCCCATGTATTGTAGTAAAAGGCAATGGTCCCAAGTTCAAGGTACACCAACCTCTTGGGGCCACCCTTAAGAGATTTTCCCAGCAATTAACGAGTGCATGTCAGAAGATGGGAAAAACATGTGCCCCAAGGATTAGTCAGTGCTCTAAGAGGACTGGATACATCATGATACAAAAATTAAACATAGATTCAGATATAACAATTGGTTTGCTCCAATTAGAGAACCAATACAGTTTGTTCCCACCATTGTTCAACTAATCTACCCTCCTATGCAAGCGCCCATAAGCTTTTAGAAGAACTAAATTTCCTCAACAACATATCGCGCATCTTAATTCACCACTCAGAAAAAAAAATGTTAATTTAAAATGTAACATATTTCTTTTAGAAGTTGCCATTTCAGCGTATGTCCAACCTATCCAGATCTCCTTTAGGATCTAAAGTTAGGATTCATCTTAGTTGCATTGAAACTGTATAGTCATCCACTGTATTTAAGAGGTTTCTAGCCTGTTTTACCATTTATACAGACAAACACGGGCTTCTCGCCCCCTAAGAGGTTTCTAGCCTGTTTTACCATTTATACAGACAAACATGGTCTTCTCGCCCTACCTCCTTTCGGAAGAACTAGCCAGTCAAGATACATGAACCCCAGACAGACAGAATCTTGGGTAAACATAAGAAAACCACTACAAGTTGTACCAGTTATACAAGAAAAAGGCAGGTGTGAAATGACTGACAAAAATTAAAACTGTAGTACTTAGGTTCTCTTGACACGTCTTTAGTGAAAAAAGTCCCAGATAGTGTCAAAAAATAGATCATTTTAATGCAGCTTTTAACCTTTTAAAGAGCCGTGATCATTCATTCTCTGCAACTGATACTGAACAATGGAGGAATCAAGATAGGATCGAACAGATTTCCTGTAAGTTCCATTAACAAGCAACAGAGGAACAGCTGCTGCTCTTCGTGCCACTGAAAAGGCCATTGCCAAAGCAGGATCCTCTGAAAGTGGTAACCTACAAATTTCTTTCACATTAATACAACTATGAACCACAACGAATTTATATGGGAAGAAAGCACAATACTTAATCATCCGGAAAAAAAAAATTGACAGTCCCAACACGAAATGATTTTGAGTTTTAGCATACAAAGGAGAATACATAACATCAATAAAAAGGCGGATTACCCATCCAAGATTAGAAAAGTATCTGACTTTACCTAGAAATGTGATGTGAGACAAATTTTAAATTATTAATTTTGAGAAATAAAGAACCATGCTAGATACATACAAGTGCTGACTGAAAGCAGGTTTCTGAGAAGGTAACAACAAAGAGGAGAGTCCATCCATTAGAGCCTTGAGATCCACAGGCAATTGTTTAATATGTCTAACTTTCTGCATTCATTAGTAGTTAGGTAAGGTGGTAAGGTGGTAAGAAAACCATATGCATTAATTGTTGAAGCTTCTTTGAACCATACCCATACCTCCTGCGTGATGAAAAATAACTGAAATGATATCTTATCATAATAATGAAATGCACCATCTGCTATGGAAGGTGATATGATGTGTCTCATAGATCCCCACAAATTTGCACCTAAATGAGAAAGAAAAGTATCACGTGCAACTGTGTAATTTTGAAACTCCTGCACAAGAACAAAAAATAAATGATAAAAGAAAATTGCTTTACATTTAGCAAAATAAATAAATAGAAAATAAAGTGTTTCAATGATTCCAAGGCAAACTTAGTGTCGAAAGTATAAATAACTGATTAGCAATAAACATCAGCAGGGGGAAAAACCCCCAATAGCAAACCCTCACTGATAAACCAAATGGCATACCTCATGAGTATCACTGAACAAATTCCAATTCTCCATTCGCTTTAATGCCTCTAGAGCCTTTCTCTTATGACTTTCATCATATTCTTCACCTTCAAATGATTGGAGCTCATTTTTCAAATCCCTCATTCTCTCATCAAGTTCTGAAATCACCCAGATTAAAAGGAACATGAACTCTTTACTTTTGAGTGAAATAACAATCGTGCAACAAAACAACTCTCATAATACATGCAATGCAAACACCATTAGGTATGGTATATATGGGAGTAAAACCAAGCATGATTGGCAAGAAAAAGAAACATAAGAAAAATATTCATAATAATGTTACTCAAAAGAGTAAATGGTAAATGTCTTATGACTTATGAGAAATATGAAAACGAATTTGACCTTCGCAAATAATATAAAGAAAAAAACTTCAAGCTGTAAGTGAACTACATAAGTTCCAACTATCTCTCAATAAATAAATTAATGAAGAAACGCAGTTACAGTCCAAAGAAGCGATCTTTTATAAAAATGGGGCTACCTTCGCAAAGAGCAAGCTTTACTTTCCTTCCTTTGCAATGTTTGAAAGCAAAAAGCTCATATATATCAATCTCCGCAAGAAGAATATCAATGGCTTGATGATCTTTCTGCAAAGCTCACAAGCACCACAAATTAAATGGAAAGAGTAAAACCCTCATACTTAAGTTCCCCTCCCCTTCCGCCTAAAAAGAAAATCAAATGGTCGATGCTCATAAATTCAAAAAACAAACAACAAATTCTTTAAGAATGCCGCATAGCTAGTTCTATATTTCCTTTGCTATCTCCCTCTTTATCGCACATGTGAATTTGTTATTGTATTAATACAAGAAATAAAATTCTTAATGAAAAGAAGAAAACTACAAGATAGATGGACAAGGTCTACAAAGCAATCAGTCTTACTTTCAAGTTTCAATAAACATAGCTCACATTACATCAACTCATATTCCCCCCAATCAAGATGAACTACACTATGTTGGATAGAGATGCCCATAGAAAGGCTAGAATTTAAATATATCCAAAGTAAACCCACACCCTCTTTATCACAAATAAAACCCATTATTTACTTCCAAATAATCTGCAAAGAAGCCAACATTGGTAATCGCCTTTTTGTTGGCATCCACATAATTCTCCACCGGAAAGAAATAACAACTTGTAGGACAAAACACACCAAGTAATTGTCTTTGATAGGAAACAAAGACTTTCTTAAACAAGTCAAAAAGTACAAAGAACTAAAGAATTTTCTCTAAAGAGTCTACAATCCCAACTTATCCTTCCTACAAAAGAAACTCCACAGCAAGCACAAAACAAACACTAATCTTCCTTTGTGTAATCTTTTAGAAGAAATTTATTTAATTAATTGGAATCAAACAATCAAACAGCTCTCCTAACTTCTTCTTTTCAAAAGGTGTAACAACCCAAGGCCTCATCCAAAAGCCTACTCTGAAGTTGACTTATGAATTTCTTGGCTTTCTTAATACCCAACGCATAATGTAGGATTCCAAAGTAACACCATCTTGTCTCCTCTATACCTTGGGCGTCCTTACTGAGAGAGTAACCATACATTTCAAACTTATATCAATGGCCAAGGCTTTCTGATGTGGGATGCAGCCATTTACTTGCCTAGGTACCCAGTAGTGTAGGTGAGGCGCCACCTTTTCCCTCATTGATACAACCACGGCCCTTAACTCCTGCATATACAAAGGTTGGGTAGGACCCCAATACCATTTGTAAGGACCCAAGGCCTCATCCAAAAGTGCTGAAGTTAGACTTCTGGAGTCCTATGCCTTTAATAAATAGCCTGGATCTTCAGTGCACATTGCCGATGAGGGATTCATGGGTATCACAAAAGGCCTCTCAAGCCACCTAGCCCTCTCTTCCTTATTGGGTAACATTCTCATCCCTCCACTCTAAACCCCATCTCCTCATGTTTAGTATAAAAGTTGTCGAAAAGACTAACTACCCTGCCTATTTTCCATGCTTCTAATTTTAGAACAGCACGTAATATTACGTAGGGTTATCCTAGCATTTGCATTCAGACTTGCACAGAATACTTGCTTGTTGATAACATAATGAACCTTGTGAAAATACTATCAATCCTCTATGCAAAAAGCACCATGATAAAAGACAAATATATGTCTAATTATGAGCCCAAAAAAACGACATTATTGTGTAAGCTCGGGTAACCTATACAGCGCCTCCCTTCAATACCCATTTTTGCAGCATCACAACAAGCAAACTAAGCACAGTACAGACAACATGACTTCAATTTTTTTTAAGAAACAATATTTGTATTGAGAAAGGAAAAGAGAACTAGAAAAGAGAACTAAAAACTGGCTGCACAAGACAATCAAAACATTTTCCCCCCAGCATGCAACACCCATTTTAAAGCATCACAACAAACAAACTAGGCACAATAGCTTTATTTTAAACGAACAATATTTTTATTCTGAAGGAAAACGGTACAAAGAAAGATATCAAGCTTAGAAAGAAAACTAAAAACTAACTGCACAAGTAGAACATTCAAGACATTTCCCACCCCCAAATAAATAAATCAATCACGAGAAGAAAAAACTTAAGGGAATGTTTTGAAAAATGTTTTTCCTTGAGCTTTTAATGAATTATCTTCAGGAAGATGATAATCATAAAAGACTTACAAGTAGGACGGTTTTGTCAAATGCTTTGACACAAGAAGCACCCAAGGAGAAGCTGAAGACCTAACCCAGCCCAAAGTAATCCAGCACTATAGATAATGTAATAGATATTTTGTTCACATGGTATATATGCTAGGTAATTAAGAAATCAAAGTATGCACGATCTAGTAGATTATCTCATTGGCGGAGGTTTAATGAAACTGAACATATTGGATTCAGATCACCAACAGCAGCAACTAGTGTTCTGTAACAGAAAAGGATGAGTAATATATTGTAGGGTGCAAAAAGAGCCACAAGAAGGTGATGATCCTCAAACTACTGCTAGCAAATCTTGTTACTTGCCATTGATTTACCAATGGCAGTACAATTTGATACGTCAACCCACCATCTCTAACCTCTCTCTCTCTCCCTCCCTCCCTCCCTCCCTCCCTCCCTTCCTCTTCTTCTTCTTCTTCAACATCATCTGAGAGAATTGAACTGTGAGTTGGGGGCTTGGGGTTAGGAAATTGAATTACTGTAGATAGATGCATAATTACTAATGGTACTTAGTTGTCGGAGGATTGGATGGATATATAATGAGATGAGGATGTGAGATAGATTGCCAAAACAGTCAATGTTACACACCGCAAACAAGAATATCGCAACCAACAAGAAATTACAATTCCAAGGACACCCACACCAGTCCAAACAGCTGCGACCATATTTCTTTGTGAATGCGCTATGCAACACCATGATTACAATGTATAGATCCCACTATTGGCAAGTAGTGAAAGAGGAAAAAAACACCAAAATTTTCTCCTTTTTATTCAAAAAACATGAACATACAATATAACAATCATCACCTTATACACATACGAAGATGAGATTTCAACATTGAACTGAAATTTGTTTTTACCAGAAAGCACATACATCACCAAATACGGCAAATTTTTCCTGAATAGCATCTTGTAAGCGATCTTCTGCTTCATCTTCTGAAATTTCTGCACATCATAAAGAAAATTTAAACTAGCTAAGGCAAGAACTTTTGTAAAGAGTTGGAAAATATCTGGTCGAGAATTAAAATAAAGTTATGTTTACAGGACAAAAATGTTTCCCTAATCCTCAACTAATGAAATAAAGTTTATATGTATGCACGTAGAAAAATGCTCAAGAGTAGGTGGAGTGCTTATGGGATAGGGTGCAATTTTGGGCATCTTAGTCAGCATCTGTACGTTTTTATTTTGTCAGATTGGAATGCATTTTCTTTTTCTGTTATTTTGTCAGATTTTTTTTTTCCTAAAAGAAACAAATTGTATTAAGAAGGGGTACCTGTTTTGTACATCTTTGGAATCCTGTTTTTGTTTTGTCGTTTTCCCCAAGGATTGAGGTGCTGATGCAGTTTGCACTTTTAGTTTTCTTTTAGAAGTGGACTCCTTGTTCACTTTTGGTGTACTGTTTCGTTTTTAATAAACATTCACATTTCTTATCCCAAAAAAAAAAAAAAGACCAAATGGACTTTTTCTAGGGGACCCTTACTAAATGTAATTCATCCAAACAAAATAATGTATAAACACTGTTCATCTATTTATTAATAACAATGTGATGACTAAATGGTTTCTTTTTTCTTTTTCTTCTTTGACTAGATGACTAAATGGTTTCTGATTTGGCTCCATTTTTTGTGGAAATAATGATGCTTGAATAGGAACCTAAAGGGCAATTCAGATTATTGAACCAGGATGATCACACAATGTTGTTCTTTCTTTTCTTGAAAAGTGAGCATCCACTCGCGAGGATTTTCTTAGAAACATAAAATTTTGAATATACATATAACAATATGATCGCTAAAGGACAATATCAATTTTCCCACAACATTTTAGCATCAAGCTCGCTCTACCACCAGTAAATAATAGCACATCCAAGTCAAACGTTGCCACATGATCAGTGAAGGTTATAATTGAATAATCACTGATGTTGCAGTACCTGAAACTGCACCAATTGTTTTTTGCACATTGGGAGAACTTAGTTCTGTCCGAACACCTTCCCCACCAACAGCTGGTCCCCATGAGAAAGGGCCTGCACTTAAATCAATAAACGCCCACCTAATCCAGAATATTTTACTAACAAGGATCAGTATAACAAAGGGTGTGTGTATACCAGAGTTCATATATGTATGTGTATGTGAGCATCTGGGAATACATAAGAGAGAGAGAGAGATTCACCTCTCTTTTCCAATCCATGTATCTGTAAGGCATTCAGCACGAAGATTGTTGAATTCCCCAGATTTTAGTTCCTTACTGAAAAGAAGCTTCATATCTTCATTCTTCCCTTTCAGTAACTATTCTCGTTATAAGAATAAAAGAAACAATTAAAACATTTAGTTAAAATATTTATCTCTCTGAGTTTTAGTTTTATATTACTCAGTTTGTCTAGATACTCATAAGATCAGAAAAGGTTTGTATACCTGTAAAACTTTGTTCTGCACGATATCCACAGTTTCCTTCCCTCGGTACAACTTCTCCACATTATTCAATGCATCTTGGCATGCATTGTACCATTCAACCTGAAAATTAGATGTGCCATTATAGCCTTTAAATTACATGAGCAAGCTAAAGCTTTGAAAAAAAAAACAAACAAGCTAGTAAAAATTCAGCATCATATTTTATTCAAGCAAAACAAACCATTGGGCTATCTGTAGAACTAAAGTGCCCACCAGCCCTTGTAGCGAGCAATGATGAAAATATCAGTAATTTAGATTTAAAGACGTGTGACATGCACTGTAAATAGTGCACAGCTGATAAGTATCAAATTAAAACTTGAACTATATAATTCATAAGAGCATCTTTATTCAGGGAATACTCAATGTTTGAGCCATATCACATATTTTGGAAATCTCATTACACCAATACAGGAAAAATATAGAACTTAGTAGAGGAGATTTCATCTTGATCCAATTAATAGCAAATTTCTTTTACTATCATTTGATCAACATCAAATTTAATGTTACTTAAACAAGAAAAAGGTATTACCGACAAGGTGTTAGTTGGAATGGTAAAACCCATGGTTTGCCCCCACGTGGCCTGAGGTTCAAAACCACCAAAGCTACCTACCTAGCTCTTTCATAGTGTTTTCTGCCTCCCAAAGATTGTAGGGTTCAGTGGGGGGCCCCAGTTTCAAAGCTGTGTCCGATTTGCAGATTGGTGGATTTCTGGGTATCCAAAACAAAAGGTATTGTTCCTATAAATCTCCCAAATGTTTAGGGAGATATTATTTTAGTACTTGGGAATAATAATATCACTATCCTTTTACTGTCGAAACCAATACTCAGAAAATTTGGGGTTGCATCTTCATAAATTGTAGCATGTTCTTCCCTTTACCTCAAAGTGTGCAATCTTCACTTTTCTCTACTGTTATTAAATCAATATATCCTCAAGTTCTGATTGTTTCAGTAGTAAAAAGTTAAAAGAACGAAAAATAGTATTTTCTTTTCCAGTCAGGAAAACTACAACAAAAATCACTATTTTCATCAATATGACCGGGAGGTGTGTTTGTGTGTACTTGTGTTAGAGAGAGAGAGAGAACTAACCGTATCAGTGTCTTCAGTTACAGACCAGGCAAACTTTGCCATTGGATGCTTCTCGTACAAAGGTCTCTTAATTTTATCAAGAGCTACAAAATTCAAGTTTTCAACAATCTTATTTTAGGAAGAAATAAAAAAGAATATACAGATTTTTTTATTTATAAATGTTCTTCAAAGCTCCTGAGTGGAAAAAAAAAAAAAAAAACGAACATGCAAAAACTAAAAGTGAAATATCTCCTCAAAAAAAGTGCGGAAAAGAAAAGAGAAGAATTTAGAACAAAGGTTTATCATACCAAGAACAGTTTCTGGAATGCTTCCCGACTGAAGAATTTTGGTTTGCAAATTCTTGTTCTACAAAATAAAAAATATATCAATGCCTCCCCTTTAAATATTAAGAGATGAACAGACAAGAAAAAATAAAATGGTCACAAACTATGAGCATGAATAAACTACTAGACATGTTAGAAGAATGACAGTAGGAACATAACGCCCAGGAATTGAATAAAAACAAACCTCTTTGAGAAATTTTATTTCTGATTCTGATAAACCTCTCCTGCAAAAGACAAAATTAAAATTGAGAAAACCAAGCTAATAGCATTCTAAAGTTAATAGGAGATATGAACAAAGAGATAATGAGACAATATTGAAAACATACACAAACCAAACATAACATGATATCAGGTTTTTCCAAACTGCAACATAATGTCAGTACTGTAAAAGATTTAGCACTGAGATGTGCTCCATTAAATAAGGATTTGTCCCAGGTAAGAATCAACATGTAGCTCACTCTATTTTGTGCATTAAGTGTTGGTCCAAGCAATTGAAAAGCTTCTTTCTATTCGGTTATTCAGTACGGACACAATGTCGTAATATATATATATATATATCAAATTAATTGATATTAGGAAGAATCTAAGAAGATGAAAAAGGGTTTAAAGGAGGCATGCTGATCACCACAAAGCTTAGGATCTTGAGATTGAAAATTTCTTTCAAAAGGAAATTACGTATCCAGTATCAAGAATAAGGGAGACATGCGTGGCACACGCATACCATGGGAGATACTTAGCCACATCTCAACCCATGGTTGAAGAATGAGGCAATCAAGGAAGTCTTCCTCCTGAACTAGATTAAAAGTCCAAAGACCTTTGCTTTCTTTCCTTTTCGATACAAACAAAGGGAAGATGATAGTAACTGCTTAAGAGATTAAATCTTGGACAACAAACAAGCTACTGCAAGGCACAATACCTCCATAAATGCAAATTTCATTAGAAAAAGGTATATCATTCTCAATTTGGAAATGATATCTTTCTCTTCAGTTTGCATTAATATTGCAAATAAAACTGTAATCATTACGTCAGTTCTTATACAGCAAATGAATCCACTAATTACAATATGAAGCAGATGCTCTGTTTCAGTCTATAATCATTTTAATGTTTGATTGAGCCTATAAAAATTCCTCTGTTGCACAAATAAATTGCCCATCAATATGTCCTGGTATCTAAACTAACTCTATCTCGTATTGAAGCACTTCACGGAAACTTTATGCTAGTCATCAAGAAGACTCCATGTATAAGATGTGGAATTCAATCTACCATATTAAGTAATTCCTAATATACACACCGGTAACCATATTTAGCTCTTTTTGAGTCGTGCTTGGGATTCAAGATGAAAACGTTATATGCATTTTCAAGTTCAAGATATCCAACAAGGCTAGTGAAAAGAACATCCATCATGTCCACATCTACTTGCCACAGAGCATCCCCGTCATCCCTGTACACAATAAAATGAATCAATGACTGAAAGCAGCAACAAAGAGAAAACTCAAACATGCAACACCAAGCATGCTAGTTAAACACAAACAATTGAACTCAGAAACAATAAAAGAATATACCCAAATATGCAGTTAACAACAACAAAAAATGCTTCTATTACCACCCCTAAACCCTCCTATGAAATTGTCCCAAAGGAGCTTGAGATATAATCTGGGAAAAAAAACAATAGGGCCGGTCAGTGCCCTGCATGGGGTTTAGGGTTCAGGTTTAATGGTATTCTGGAAAATCAGTGCATATGTTGAAAACATCTGTTTTAATTTTTCAAATTTTTTGGACGAAATTTACGCGAAGAGATTGAAGATTTTTCTGCCCTCATGACAGTTTAGAGAATATTCAGGTTTCAGCACATAAACCAGACAGGAGGAAATGGAAACTGGATTCATGCCGGGGTTCTCTTGTAGGACCTATTTTAATTTGCTGTGTAATAAGCAATCCTCTACTGTATTCCAGCCTGCTAAAATGTCAGGAAGACTAATATTTCTCCTAAGATACATGTTTTAGTTTGGATAACACTTGCAATTTGGTACCAAGAAGAAGAACCAATCTTACTGTGTCTCCTCACTGGTTCATTTTGTGCAAAAAAAATATTTAAAAAAATAAAATTGGTAGAATCTGGAACTCACTTGCTCTTACATTGTCCTTATGCGTTGGGGCTGTGTTGGTGGTTGGTTGAGGCTGTAGGGGTAGCTAGGCTATTCCTCAGCCACCCTCAAAGATTCTTTGTGAAAATTATACATCTTCTGGAATTGTTTAGTGCTAGCTGTTTTTTGGGTAATTTGGTGGGGGAGAAATAGAAGAATTTTAAGAATTATAGTGGAGATGAAGAGAACAATTGGGAAAAGGTCAGATTTTGGGAATCCTTATGGGTTTGGAATGAAAAACATCAAAACTAAATTACCCTCAATCTGAAATTGAGGTACAAGGATAGCTTTATTAGTCCCCCAGAGGAACAAGGTTCAGACTTGGAGTTGTTTAAACCTTAACAAAAACAGATTATGATCCCAAAGCATCATATGCAGTTCACTGAAAACAACTCGAGGAGCAACCATGTGGCATATCTATAGATTACACATGAAGGTGTGACTATATTCAAGCAATTGGAGGCCTTAAGCAAGAATGAAAACATCAGTGCCAGTGGGAATTTCAGTTGTCCAACTTTAGGGGAATACTGGTGGAAATAACAGTAAAAAAAAAACGAAAATACACAAATTTGCTTTAAATATGGAATTTAAAGCTTTATAAAGTAGTAGACCTAAATGACATAAGAATGAAAAGAGTGATATAAGACATGTTTTTCAATGCGCATGAAATAGTTTTACATAAATTTAATTTGACTTTGATTATATAATATGTATAGCTTTGATTTAAGAAATATTTATACACGCACATATATATATATATATATTGAATTATCAAAACAATTGTAAACTGTGGTATTGGGGACATGATGATGCTAATTATCTGGGTTGTGTACGTGGAAAGGAATAGAAGGGTCTTTGATGATATCAAGGCTGAGGAGGTGGAGCATCCAGGGAAAAAGGTTCATTTTGGAGCTTATTTAAGGGCATCTGTATCTTCGAAATTCAGGGATCTTCCTGTTTCCTGAGATTTCTTTCTTCTCTTTGTTTTTTCTTTTTATTGTTGATTGGTTATTGCATATGTAATGAAATAAATCACAGGATTTATATTGGTGGAAATCTTGTGTATTTCCACCAGAATTCGGAGGAAATGCCGAATATTTGAGTGGAGTCTCAGCGACAGGGTGGAAGGGAACTCCTTCCAGCCTAGTTCCAATGTCAGCATGGTTGAAATACTGAAAGTGTTTCAGCCAACAATTTAAACCTTGGTTATAAGAACAAAATGTGATGGGAAGATTGATGGAAGAAGCCCGATCCTTTTCTATTACTCAATTCAAGCAGCCAAATGTATGAGCGAAAAGAATCTGATATAGGATGAAATTACCTGTTACCATATGAGTCATCCTTGCGAGAGAAAACATTTATGGCTTTCTCAAATATCGAAGTAACCTTTTCTCCCATTTGTATTGCATGAACAGAAAAACTACAAGAACATTCATCATCATATAACAACAACAATTACGATTCATAATCTTCCTAATAAACAGATAAAAGTACAAAGAACTATTACTTGTAGTTTATGTGACTGACAATGGGAAGATGGTGTTGTTGCTCTTTATCTACACTAATCCTGTAAAACGGGGTGAGGACTTCTCCAATTTGAGGAACACGTGTATGTTCAAAGGTATGATCAATTTTTGTGAACCAGCGCTCAAGTTCTTCAGGGTGAAGCTTGAATTCTGAAAGTAGATTTACAAGAAGAACCATTAAGAAACAACCACCCCTTTAATAAACAAAAGAAACACAAAACTGAAAACATGAAAGAACAAAATGAACACCAAATTTGTATACCTTGGTTTCCTTTCCCATCAAATCCAATAAAAATGAAGTTCACAGGCACTGGGAGGTACATAGAATCAACTTCCAGAAACTTGAGATAATTTGCAATATTGCCTGGAATAAGATAAAAAGAGATTGGAATCAGTACTGCTCATATACAATTAATGGGTGAAAATATATTTTCTTTGTTGTTGAGTCATTGACCAAACCAGGATTGAAATAGTAAGGAAACAATAACTTTATGTGCTTAGGCCGAAGGAATTGGATACGAAGAACCCAATGACTTGAGGACACATGCAACAAACAGCAATGGGGATGTTACCCCCAAATTAATGACAACTTTTACTGAATGTAATGGTGCTTAATTCAGCAGTATAGTCAGTATAGTCACCTTTCAGGTTTCAGGAAAAAAGGTCAGTATAGTCACCTTTCAGGAAAAAAGGTCAGCATAATCATCACTCCCACATTAAACAGTTACTTTTATAAAACCATAAACCCAACTGCCCATCATCAAATGTCATTCCCCTTAGAGACATCTGAATCCAATTGCTCAAGCATAGAATTGTGTACTCTAAAAGCAACACCAATCAATTATTGCATCACTTGGCACCTAACTATAAACAAGAGTAAATGAAACTAAACTCTTTATTAACCAATACAAAGCACTGACTCTGCAACTGACAGATAAGTTTCATTATTTATAAAAGCAAGAAACACAGAAGATGCCTTCTCTTCGAATCCAGGGCCCATAAACCCTAAAAAAAGTCATTTCTTTCATTTCCTCTGCCCTCAAAGCTACCATTAAATAACTGTAGAACCAGTATACAAATGAAAAATCTGCAAACTTGGGCCATAAAGAGAGTCCGGACTTTAAAAGCAAATCCAACGAAAATCTCATTCGATGTTAATTTCACCAGAATGCTAAGGTGCTGGCTGTTCTCCATGATTCCAATCACGATACCTTTTCTTTCTTTCTTTTTCTCTTTTTTTTGAAAAGTAGAAATTTTAATTCATAAAAAAACCATACAGAAAAGTGGACAAGTTATCCACCAATAACAGAAAGAAACAAGAAACTAGTACAGAGATCTACAACTATGAGGAAAAAAAAATAACCATTGCTAATCAAGACACTGCAGCCTTCCAATCAAGAAAAATGGTTGAAAGGGATGTATTCCTAAAAATAGGAGAAACAGAAGCCCAGAGCCGGAAGTACTTTTCCTTTTCTCACACCTCCTCCACTTCCGGCCCCTTGGCATCTAATATAATAACTAGTTTTCTTACAAATATAAAATAATAATAATAATAAACAATGAACCATGTTCTAGGGGTGTTATCAGAATTCGTTTTGTAAAGTTCAACAAAATTTCCCAAATGAATTTTTTTGAATAGAAATTTTGTTAAAAAGGCCAAGAAAGAAGTTTTCTAGTGACTACCTGCATTTGTGTAGTTGAGAACACCCATTTTTCCGGGTCTGGAAGATTCCAAATCATCAAAATCTGAACATTAACCAAAATTATGACATTAAAGGAAATAAAGCAATCTGTTCCTCCGCATATATGAACAGAAGGTACATTTAATGAAGGGAAACATGCAGTCATACCACCACGAATAACAGCCTCACTCCAAAACCTACTCTTCTCTTTAAGGTTAAATAAAGAGAAGACTGATGACCTGCTGCTTTTTCCAGAGGGAGATCCAGCTGATGTAGTTGCCAAGAACTGATAAAAATTATGCCAGCAATCAGGATAACATGCTGTAGAAGTTTTCATTGCAAAATCAAATCTATCACGGATATAATCTCATCCTTGAGGAGTCAAAAGAAAGAGAGCATAAATTCAAATCAATGAATACAATATTTAATCTAAGTATCTTTCAACAAGAAAAGGACAGCATAAATGTTCAGCAATACCCTTAGCTGTAAGATTGTATAAGCATGTCCTAAGCATTGACCATCCTACCAATGCATTAGCAATTTGACATCTAAAAACTGTAAGTCCATCACAACCAACAATAGGCTGCTGGGCATTTATCCTGATGACACTATTCTATAAATTGAAGTTCGGGCATCTTCCTGATGACACTAATTAGGCTGTTTGGCATTTATCTTCCTATTATTTTCTTCTTTGTTATATTTGGTCAGAGGAATGCTGAGTATTTCAAACAGAAAATTTCTTACTTTCTCCTTCTTTCATTTTAGGGTTTAGGGTTTAAGTTCAGTAAATCAGTAATATATATCAAGCCTTCAAGCATCTACATGTTCCATCAAATTATTTCCTAATACTTGATTTAATAAATCAAAACAAGACAAACAAAAGAAAATCCATATAGAGTGAGGAGCAGTTGGGATGTAGAGCGAGAGAAAGGACTAACCAGTAAAAAAATGGAAATAATGAAGAAAGGCAGAGGAAACAATCCCCGACGAAGACGAAGACGAAAACGAAGACGGTTATGATGATCCATCCCTTCGTTTCCAAAGAGCGGAATAGAATTACGGCTACCGTCACCAAACAGATTTGCTACTTCCCGAGAAAATGCCCACAGAGACAAACCAAAGAAATAACAAATAGAGGAAAAACATGTCTCTCAGACCACGTCATACGCGTTGATGTGGAGCTGACATGTCTCTTCAGTTTTGACTCACCCAGTGCTCCTGCATTATATGAATTTCGGACTATACTGTAAGGGCAAGTGCAGCGCACAAGCCTTGCCAGGTCAACACCCGCCCCCCAACCAGCCCAAATCCAGCTCCAGCGCAAGGAATCCAGCCTAGACAAGCCCTGGGTCCCACCAGCCCGGACAAGCCCACGGGCAAATTCTGCTCGGACTCAAGTCCGAAGGCGTTGATGTCAGCGAGAGCATTTCAAATTTTTTTTTTTTACTGTTGGCACGTGAGTTAAAAAGAGTAAAAAAAAAAAATTTGAAATGCTCTCGCGTTCACGCGCCAACGGTAAAAAAATTTGACTTCCGCTTACTGACGTCAGCCCTGACAGAACCCAACGGAAAAATGCCACGTGGCGCTTCCCGGACGCTGCGATGGGTTTTTTTCCAGAAATCCGACGGCCCTCATTTTTTTGGCTAAAAAAATTCGAAAAAATTCAGAAATTTTAAAAAAAAAAATACCAAAAAATTCTGAATTTTTTCCCTATAAATACCTAATAATTTTATTCACTTTCCACACCAAATCTTCATACAAACTCTTCTCATTCCAATATTTTTTACTTTCCACTCACATTTTTCTACTACTTTCCATTTGTATCAAAAAATAAATGGCCTCTTCTGTCGAAGCTGGAGGCACGTGGACAACTCATGAAGATATTATGTTTTGTCAATGTTGGGTGAAAGTTAGTCATTGCCCTGTCACGAGCAATGAGATGAAGTTCGCTCATATGTGGAGCAAAATTCATGGAGAATTTTGTCAAATATTGGGTTCAATTTGGACCGAAATAGCCTTGTTTAGTAGATGGAAAATTCTGAATAGAGAGTTAGGGAAATGGATAAATGCCTTGACAAAAGTAAGGGAGAACATTCGAAGCGGTCAAAATCTTTCCGATGAGGTAAAATATTTATAATTGTCATTTTAATCAATTTAATGTAACTTTTTTTTATTGCATATTCAATTTCTTTTTCTTGCATAATCTTTTTTTTTTTTTGGACAAACTACAGTAAACCCCCCAACTTATAGGGTCATTTACGAGTTCGTACCCGATTTTGAGGACATTAACCAGTACATACTCAATGTCACAGAAAACCTACAATTTGCCCTCTCCGTTAGCCAAACTATTAGTGAGTCTGTTAAATGCCGACGTGTCAAAAGTGGGACCCTTTTTTTTATGATATGGACTTCCACGTGGACCAAAAATTAATAAAAAATTCTCCCACCACCCAGATTTCTCCTAGTTCCTAAATCCTAATCTCATCTCCTCTCTCTCTATGCTCTGTCTCAAATTCCAACCCAATACGACGGTCGTGAAGAAATGGATCTAGAGGTGGTGGGACGCCACACTCTGTTCGACGACGACGACGACACCAGCGCCTCGTTCGTTAACCCCCTCCGTTCCCACCTCAATGAGCTTCCTCTTAAAGATTTGAGCTCAATTCACACCAAGCATAGAGAATTTCGGTTCTCTCACTTCAATGTCACTCTAAAGCACGTGAAATGCGTCCGTTCTTCCTGTGATAAGAGCCCAGAGTTCTCCTGGTTCGTTTTTCTACAAATTTTTTTGGCAAAATCATTCATGGGTTTTGAATGTCATTTCATATTTTGTTTTGGGTGTCTTGGATTTTGAATTTCATGGTCTCTATTGTTGGTTGCTTGTAGATTATGTACCAGACTCCAAATTTTACAAAGTGGAAGCGATTCTGAGGTGTAGAAACCACTCAATCTTCTTTTCTTCTATAAATTGTTGGTTCTTAGGTCCAGCTTGTCTCATTCATGCATATTTTGTTTGGATTGATTGTCTATAGCTCTGCATGTCAGTTGTGATTTTTTTTTTCTTTTTCCTAATTGTATACAACGTTTCAGCTTATGGATTTTGATTATTTCTAATTATTTCTTAATCTTTGTTCTAATTATGGGACGAAATAGGCCATGGTGAGTTTCGTAGGTTTCTTCGATAAGAACTATTGACTTTAAGCACAGCTTACTGCACAATACGACGATTGTGAAGAAATGGATCTAGAGGTTATGGGCCGCCAAGCTCTGTTCTTCGACGACGACACTAGCGCCTCGTTCCTGAACTCATGCTACGATGTTCGCCACCTCCTCTCCAGCCCTCTACCCCCAATCACGTGCCGATGACATCGCACGCGTTCATCCTCCTCGCTGCCGCCCCAACCTGATGCCACTCTAGAGTTCGAGCTCGATCAGGAGTAGTAGCTCGATTTGCCGTTCTGGTTCTGGGTGAGAGAGAGAGAGAGAGAGAGATAGATAGATAGATAGATAGAGAGAGAGAGAGGTTTTAAAATAATTTAACTAGTAAAATAAATTTTTTATTAATTTTTTGTCCATGTGGAAGTCCATGTCATAAAAATAAAAATAAAAAAAGTCTCATTTTTGACACGTTAGCATTTAACAGACTTACTAATAGTTTGGCTAACGGATGGGGCAAATAGTAGGTTTTCCATGACATTGAGTATGTACTGGTAAATGTCTCCAAAATCGGATATGAACTCGTAAATGACCTTATAGGTTGAGGGGTTTATTGTAGTTTGTCTTATCTTTTTTCTTGCATTTCCATTTTGTCCACATTTTCTTGCATTTCAAAATTGTTTATATTTTCTTGCATAATCTTGTTTTTTTCTTGCATTTCCAATTATTTATTTTTAATAGATCATACAAGCACAAATGTGGTTCAGTGCCATGGGATAAGGCAAAAAAAGTTTCTTGAGTCATGAATGTTGGGAAGTTGTGAAAGATTGTTCGAGATTCAAAATTATTTCCACAGGTTGGCCGGTTATGTTGAATGAGACGCCGTTCCATGATTCGCTAGCAACCGATTCGCCATTGGACTCCCCAATGGAAACGGACTCACCACTCCCACATGCGGCGAGACCTATTGGGAGAAAGGCGGCAAATGCCAAGAGAGAGAGCACTTCGAACAATGAATGTGCACAATTTTTGGAGCAAATAGCTAAGAACGGTGCACTAAGAATTGAGAGAGACTTAAAAAGAGAATAAACGGATAAGGCATGACATGAAGCATTTGCAATTGAAAGGCAACAAGCACAATAATAAGACATGGAGGACAGAGAGATGAAAATTTTGACCATGGATACGAGTCATATGTCTCCTGAAACAAAGTCCTATTGGAAGCTAAAACGAAAGGATGTGATGAGAAGAAAACTTTTCCATGACGACGGACCTAGCAATACAAATTGATTAAATGATCAAAACCATTAGGTTGTATTGAAAGATTTGCCATATGTATTAATTTGTTGTATTCTTTCCCTTTTATTCAATAAAAAAAGCATTAAATAATATGACTATTTATTAAAAACATTTGCGCATCAAAACAAAGATTAATTAAAAACAAACCTTCATTTATTGCAAACAACACACAAAACAAAACATACTTAAAAGCATAATCAAAACGAAGTATAATTCGAAAAAACACCACACACAAAATAAAGCATAATTAAAAACAAAGCATTAATCTTGACTTCATTCACTGTGATTGCCTTTCATCTCCCACAAGTGCTCGATCAAGTCAACTTGACGTCTATTGTGAACATATGAAGATTGCATTTCTTGATAATGATCCATAATGGGGTTGTTGTATCAACCATCCCGAATTAACGGTTCGTGCTCCATTGGTTTTCCATTTGGTCCTATCGGCCTTTTATAAATTCTTGTTAACGATGTGTTCATGGGATCGGGTTCAAACACATCTGGAGCATCATAATCAGACTCATCCTCCACAATCATGTTGTGGGGGATGATGCAAGTCATCATAATGCTCTGCAGCACCTTCTCATCAAGCATCCGAGCAACACCTCTAATAATTGCCCAACGAGCTTACAAGATACCGAAACACATTTTCACGTCTTTCCTATAACTTTCTTGAAAGGCAGCAAATCTTTTTTCCTTCTTGGAATGAGGATTCAGAATTATTTTCACGAATGTCGTCCACCTAGGATAAATTCCGTCGGCGAGGTAGTACGCACCCGAATATACAGTATTGTTGATTCGGTACGTGATCTGTGGGGAATGACATCACAATACATTGTTGAACACCGGGGATTGACCAAGCATATTGAGGTCATTCTGAGATCCGGCAACTCCGAAGAACGCATGCGAAACCCAAGTGTAGAATGAAGCTACAGCCTCCAAAATTATACTTTTTTGGCCCTTTCGATTCCCACAATCTCCTTGCCAAGCAGTTAGGCAATTCTTCCACTGCTAGTGCATGCAATCGATGCTTCCAATCATTCCTGGGAAACCTCGAGCCTCAGCTTTTTGTACAAGCCTTCGGAGGTCCCTAGCTGTAGGTTTGTGAAGGTACTCCCTCTTGTAGAGATTTTCTACTGCATCACAGAATCTCACCAAGCACTCTAGAACAGTTGATTTTCCCATTCGCGCAATCTTATCCACCTGCTTTGCAGATGCCCCATAAGAGCAATAGTAAGTTTTTGCTCCAAAAGAAGACCGAAAACCCCAACAACATCATACTTCTGAACTAAGTATGTATCGTAATTACAAATATCATGCATGATTTTTTTTGGAACAAATGAAGCTGCATTCTATATCTCTCTCGAAAATAAGAAACAAGATATAACGAATTTGGGGTAACGTAATCTTTCAAGAGATTCTTACCCCCGAGACTGCCTATGTCGGTCCACATTCAGGCCATGACGACGGTGGTGTTGCCTTGATTCATTGAGCATACACATCGCTACCACCATTTCTTCCTCCTCTTCATCAGCCTCACAATCTTCTTCAGCATGTATGCACCTGATTTCTTGCTCTTGCCTCTCCAACACCGTTCTCAGGTTAGACATTGAGAGTAGAATGTGTTTTGCAAAATCTGAGAAATGAAATAATAGAGACGATATGGTGTGAGAAGTATGAGTTGAGGGTGTAGTTTTATAGAGGAATTTAGAAGATAGAGATGACACGTGGCATAATTTTAGAGGGTGAAAATCTTATATAAAATATGATATTATATTTTTTTAATAAATATTTGAAAATCTTATTTGACATGGGACACGTGGCGCAAATTTAGAAGGTGAAAATCTTATCTTCAATCTCACATTATAATTTTTTTATTATAAATATCCAAAAATCTTATATGAAATAAGACACGTGGCAACTGAGAATCTCATTTGAAATTTGATGGACTCGTGGCAACCGAAAATCTTATCCGAAAATTTAATCCCAAAATATTATCTGAAATTTTAGGTGAGAATTTTATAATAAATAATGACACATGGCAACCGAAAATATTATATGAAAAGCTATCAAAATTAATAGTTAAGTATAAAAAAAAATTGAAAATAAAGTAAGAGGAATAGTGTTTGCCCTTGCCCTAGCCCTTTGGGGTGGAACCAAAAAAGGCAAGGCTGACACTATTCACATGAATAGTGTCTGCCATTGCCTTGCCCTTGCCTTTTTGGGGTGGAGGTGCTCTAATTGTCAATTTATTTTCTGTATTTAATTGAGATTTTAATAGATTGTAATTACATGATTTTAATGTAATGGCTTTCAACCGGATTTGAAATTATATGATTTTACTCATGATTTTAATAGATTGCAATTACATGATTTTACTTATATTTCTATACAAGCTTGAACTCTATCACCCATCATCATTCACCTAAATACATAACCTAAAGGAATATACCCAATTTTTAGGATATAGATACCCAATTTTTAGGGGTTAATACAAAGATGAAGGCACAGTAATCATCAAGGGTTAGTTTAGGGAGAGTACACTGACATCAACAATATAACTCCCAACATAGCCACACATGGCCAAAATGAATATGTTAAAGAAACACAACACAACTGAGAAACCAATAATAGAAATACAAAAGCATAAGCAGAGGCTAAAAGCTACATCCAAAACCACCAACACCTAACGCAAAACAGATAGCACCAAAAATATAAATAAAGGAACATAAACTCCTAGCCCAACCCCATGACTACTCCTAGTTTTTGTCAAAGCTTGGACCAAAACTGTGGAGTGAAAAAAACACCTTGCACCTTATCAACGTTTCTTCTAGATTGTGGGTAAGGCTTTTTTTTTTTTTTTTTGGTTGTCATGGTCCCAAACGTTTTGGGATAGGGAATTAGAACAAATATTTAGCCATGTGCGCCGTATGCGCAGCAGCTACGCATAAATAAATAAAAAAAAGCCTCTTTGAGGCATTAGATCAAGCAACTTGTGGGCACACCGGCAGTGTTGTGGAGGGCTGCAACTCCTTGCGAGGAAATGTCTACAATGAGCAGGAGATTCTAAAAAAAAAAAAAAAGTATCAAAAATATAATTTTGCTCCAAATAAGCTTGTCTACAAGGAAAGAAGAGGCATTGGAAAATGCCCATTAGCTCTAGAAGAGGCAATATCGTTTTTCTTGTTAATGTTTCTTTATCGTCTCTCTTATGAAAAGTTTTTTTTATGTACAGTCGAAAGCATACAAAAAAAATGGGGACAAAAATGTATGAGAGCATATATGAGAATCATGCATAGGAAGATGAGATTTGTTATGTGATTTGGTATTTATATCACACACTCAAAAGTCTCACACAATATTTCATTTAATGAAATACCTCAAAATCAGTAAGTTTTTGAATACAACGGTACTTTTTCTTATATTTTAAAAGTCCTAATTGAATATCATCGGACTTATATTGATTATTTAAAAATCATAATTGAATACCACTAGAATTTTATTGATTACTTCAAAATCCTAATTGAATACCGCTGTACTTTTAAGCTTCAAGACAATACATTAAAATCACAATTGGATACACCTCCCTTAGATCAAAACAAATCTCTATAGTTATTTGAATAGTTATTCTCCAGTTTTTACAAAAGTAATAAAATATTATTTTATGAAATAATAAATAAATAAGAAAAATCACTCCTAAAGAATGAGGGAGTGCACAACAAACCAAAAACACCAACTATCTTTACAGATTGGTTTCTTCTTCTGTTTGTTCCACAGCAAAGCAACACAAATATACATGGATATATGTGAAGAGAAAGATGAGAACCTTCTTCACTTCTCAAGTCTGTTCTTCTCCCCCCAAAACAAACTTATCATCCACTGAAAAGTCTCACAGAATACATCATTTAATGAAATACCTCAAAATCGGTAAGTTCTTGAATACCACCGTACTTTTTCTAATATTTTGAAAGTCTTAATTGAATACCGCCAGACTTGGATGAATGATTTTAAAATCCTAATTGAATACCATCAGATTTTTATTGATTACTTAAAAATCATAATTGAATATTACTAGACTTTTAAGCTTCAAAAAAATCTATTAAAATCCTAATTCAATACACCCTCTTATTTTAGAGACGAAGAAAAGTAATATCCATATAAAAAACCAAAAAAGAAAAAAAAGTTCATTTAGAAACAAACCCCTTCTGGAATCAAACGGGCCTCGTGGTTTTGACACCACACTTGAAAACTTCACTTATGTTTGGGAAGATTCGGGAAGAGTCTCCGCTGTCCGAATTTCATTTTATTATTAACAGAAAATAAGAAGAGAAATGAGAACAGGGAGGTTGGTGTTGGCATGTTTTTTAATATATAAAACGTGTAGGGTTTCACCCCAAGCTTTCTGTTGTCCTCGGCCGCCGCTCCTACCCGACCTCAGAATTTATTTTGTAACAATAATCTTAGTAAGTAAGAATAACGATAATAATAAGGATGGAGGGCGGAGCAATGTCATTGTCGTCGGAGAGTAGGAAAGAAGAAGAGCAGCAGGGAACGTCCTATACATATTGGGTGAGGCAAGTGGCGGAGGATGCGGCGCCTCCCCCAGTTCCTCGAAAACTCTCACCTCAGGACATTCTCTCCGCTCAATCCCAGCCTTCAACCCTCGGTTCTCTCTGGAATCGGGTATGTTCTTCTTCTTTTATTTATCTTTTTACAATGTAATTCAATGCTAGATTAGATTCAGTCTTCTTATAATTATCGTCTCGTATGTTTATAATATATGATTGGGACTTGGGTGTTGTACATTAATTTATTGATTCTTAAGCTTCTATTTCTTTATGCTATTTATTTTGCGATTTCTCCAGGCTGGAACTTGGGAGGAGAAGAATGTTAATAAATGGGCAACAGATAGAATAAAGGTTTGTCATGGTACAAAATCTTAAGCGTTTTCTTTGTTTACTGCAGTAAGTATCTACTACAAATTCCCCTATCACTTTGCCTAACCCAATGGAGCCACATCCATTTCTTCAAGTTGCATCTTTGTTTGTCTCTAGCCTTGATTAATTTCTCTTTGTCTATGCAATTTACGGTTTCTTTTTTGCATCCATCTTTATTGCAGGAGCTTCTTTTATCAGTGGGTACCTTGGAGTTCTCAGGTGGCAAAGCAGAGATATCAGATGTCTTCAAATGTGTAGGAGATGTGAGTCATAATATTTTCGTTGGCCAAAATTTTTTCTTCCATAGTTGAACTGGTTTCGACAGTCTACTGAAGGAAATTTTTAAAATTTTATGAATATAAGATGCGGAATGAACAAATTTTTTTCCCAACTGATCCTTGATCTCATATAATATTCAAAAGATAAGAGCTAGGATTAAGGAGTTTTACCCTTATCGTGTGACTTAGTCTAATCCAAGTTTTCCACCAGATTTCGTCTCTTCTCCATGAATGTCCTACATATCTTCTTTCCCATGAACGTCCTCTAGAGTGATTTCTCACTTAGCTTCTCCGTGTGTGAAGTCTCAACTTTATGCACACAAAAGAGTTGAGATTAAGATTAGATTGAGGAACAAGAGTGTGCTCGCACAAGATTCATCACTGTGGTCAGTCTTTATGGTGGCGGAAGTTTGCAGAAGTTTTTCCTAGAAAAATCTTCCAAAATCTTACTATCATGTTTAATAGAGGAAAGTTAAGACCCTGACTCTCAAGAGCATGTTAGTTTTGCATTGACTCATTCATGCAATAATATTTAATGCGAAGACAGTGAACACACAAATGAATAACTTACTCATATACAATATCTCTGAAAATATTTTGTCTTTCTAGTCTAGAGGGCTCTGTCTCCTTCCTTTTCTTTTCTTTTTCAAATCTTTCTTATTCAAGAGCTTTGGAAGGTCTTTAAGATTCAGAAAAAGCAAAGAAAAAACCAGCATAAGTTCGTGCTGATTGTCGGTAGAAACTGAGCTGGACTGACCTTTGTAATCCGGAGAAGTCATAGTCATGCATGCTTGTTTCACGAAACTATTAAACTTGGTCCTGGCTTTTCAAATAACATGCTCCTAGAAGCAGGGAATGCCAGTATCATGAGTTGTAAGTAAAGTGCAAATTTTAATTATATTCCATCATCCTTTAATATGTTCTCTTTTTCTTTTCAGTTGTGATTAGAGATTATAATCTTTTTGATTATGGTGATATGATAATAGACTCATTCCTCATGAGTTCATCTTTACTGAGTGACCAGGCATTCTTGGTGACAGTGCGAAACAAGAAACGTGTTAGCTACACCTATGAACTAACCTTGAAAGTAAAAGGTAGTGTGCTGCATTCAAGAATTGTTGCTTTTCCTCTTTCAATACTTCTAATCTCTATCTTCGTGAAATCAGGGGAGTGGATATTTGGAGAGGAGAAAAACACAGTCAAGGGCCAGATAGACATCCCAGAGTTTTCATTTGGTGAGCTAGATGACTTGCAGGTATATGAGAATCCTTTTAACTCTACAAAGAAGTAAATGAGGAATATATGATGGATAACAAGGATAGTTTTGCTTTAATAGTCTTTATATATCCCTTGTAGATCTCATCATGTAATTATGTGTGGATGGTTTTAACAGATGCTTAATTATATTATTTTTATTAAACAGAAACTCGAATGTCACAAATGGTGGACAAGGAGTCCACTCTTAAAGTACAAACTAAAATAGACATAACATACAACCATTCTCTATACTACAGACACCAGACTAACAAGTGTCTTCCTATCCAAAAAATGGATGAAAGACTTACACCCCTTAAAGCAACTGAAAAAAATGCTCGGAAAGGACCATGAACCACCTATCCCACAATTCCTCCACCCTTGCCCCCTGTAATCCTCAAAGATTCATATGTTCCTTTCCATCCAAATCTCCACAAAATCTTGCCCCTTTTCCTTCCAGCAAAACCCACACAGCAGCCCTAAACCCTTTGAAGCAACTGAACAATGAACTTGAACATGATCAACACTCTCTGCTCCGCTGAAATGCTTTTGAGAGGCTAAGTATATAATGCCCGTGTGGATTTAATGACTTGTGAAGGACTCTGCATAAGATATGGGATTTTTTTCTTTAGAAGTCAGGTGCTGTGGACTTGGAAAGAAATGGATGTCATGGATGAAGGTGTGAAAAAATCTCAAACCAAACATGCTGTCTAATTAATTCCTAGTAGCATGCTGTTACATTTTAGCGTCATTAATTATTTTCCCCCTCTTTGTTTCAAACTACATCAGTAACAAAATGAAAGTCCAAGTTTTAGCCGCTGGAAATGTGTCTTGGTACCTAAGATTGCTGGTTATGCTTATTTGAAGATTTCTAGGCAGAGAGCAGGACTTTGAATGAATTTAGTTAATTTTGTAATTTGTAGACAGTTGTTCGAGATTTTGAAAAATTAGACGAGCCATCAAAACTAACTAGTGGGTCTCTTATGCAGAGTGATGACTTATATTAGCTGTTTGATTGAAATAACAGCTGGGGTTTAGTTTCAAAACGCGGCCCATTATTGACTCTTGATGATGCAGGAACATCTATTAGCCTTTCAAGGGTTTTAATATTTTGTTATCTTTTATTTGTACTCTATTATCCTTGTGGTATTTTTAAGTAGTCAAGTGACAGATATGTGAGTTTTTAAGTATTTTGGTGGGCTAGGATTTATTAGTCAGTGAAGTTAACAAGGGCTAGGATGCTAGGGCTGTTACAACCCTAGTATATAGTCTTTTAAGAGATTTTGTGTGCAGTTTTTTTATCAGTTTATAGATCACGGCAAGGCTTGACCTTGTGCGCACCAATCTTCATATTATGGTAGTTGTTTTGTTGGCCTTGAAATAAAAGACCTTGTGGGCATCACGTAATAACTGCGATAGTTGTTAGGGGGGTTGATCTTCTTGAATAGCTGAGCCCAAGATCAGCGCCTGTGTTTGGGGCTCGGAATGCACATATGGTTTAGAACATGGAAGATCCTATGGTAGGGGAGCTGTGAAGACCTCGTTTGCTCTGCATTGCCTTAAATTCAATAAAGAGAACCAACCGTCCAGATTTAAAATAACTATAGTAACGCACTTCGGCTATTTTGACCTGATAACCCATTTACTTCTAAAGCTTTATGGACTTGGATAAATCAGAAAACATAAAAGGAAATCACACTCATCTGAGCCTGTGAGTCCGGAGCAAGAGTGCAGAATCAATGCACAAGCTTTCTTTCTCAACAAGAGGTCTGGCGACCTGGGGGCTGCTCAAAAGTGATTCTTGTTGTGGAGGTTTAGTGGTGGTAGAAGAGGTGGAGAGGGAGAGCTCGGTGGATTGTACAGAGATGGGCTGGCACAAAAGAGGATTTTGTGATCGAGGAGTGGGGGGAGAGGGAGACTGATTGGTTGTTTTAGGTGGGTTTGGCTGAATGTGTTTGCTTGCTTTAGGGGCATTGGGTCTTCAAGTTTGAGTTTGAGTTATTGTTTAGAGATGAGGATGGGGACACCTGCTGCTACGAGGAGAATGAGATTATGGATTTGGAGCCAACGACCCAGGAGGTGTAGGTTTTGGTCTATGGATGTTAATAGACGGGGATTATTGGATGGTGATTGGTGGTTTGGAAGACAGTTGTGTGTTAATTTACACACTGTAAATAGTGGGGAAAGAATGACTGAGAGTGGTCCTTTTGGTTGCATTATGAAGATTCTGAGTCGTAGAAGGCTTGAAAATCCTACGGAATTGCCACGGTTTTGAAGGGGTTTTTCTTGAGAGAGAATCTTGCATTTTGGTTCTGCTCTCTTTCTGATTCCATGGGGTTCATTTGTCTGAGTTCTGAAGGTCTAGAAAGTTTTAGAAGCTGGGTTAAAAGTTAAAACATGGTTAAGAGAGTATGTTGATGGTTCTTTTTATGTAACAGCTTATAGTTGTTTCTCGCTTTTGTCCCACTTGTGTCTTCCACTAGAGAAAATCTGCAGTGAGTAATTACTGGATTACAAAGTCCCTAAAGAACTGATTACCTTATCTATTTTGTGGCCTTTTTCCTTTCAGAAAATCATGGATCAAAGACAGATGCCCTCTCCTGATAGTATGATGTCTTAGCATATGGCCCTCCCCTGTTAGTAAGAGTATTTCTGATAGTATAGTGTCTTAGCAATATTGGCCTCCACCAGTTTGAATGGTTGGTCTACATATTTTATATATTCAATGTTCTTCCTACAAAATATCAGAAGAATAATGAGGATATTGATATTCATAATTTTTATTTATTTATCCATAAGCAGCCTCACATGGCTTGTACTGGTTGCAAAATCTTCTGCTCTTCTTTTTACCCATGTCTAAATGCTATGCTAGATGATGAATCGGGCTTCTTTTTTTGTATTTTTGTATTTTTTTTTTGTCAAAGGTTATTTTGCTTCTTGACCAGGGTCTAAATGTTATATTGTTCCTTAGTCATGATCATGCAAGTCAGCTAGACAACAATGTAAAGAATTTGAGTAACCAGAATCTGGCCCTACTCATTAACTTGTCATTACCATGCAATGCAATTATGAGGTTTAACGTGTATTTATCCAGCAATTAACTTCCACAAGACATCATTAGCTAAAATTTGGGTTCGTTTGTTTTTTGTTTCTGTGAATTGTGAAATGTAGATGGAAGTGAGACTAAGTGAAGAGAAGGATATTCTACGTCAAGATAAGTTACGAGTTAGCAAGGATTTGAAGCTATTTTTGCAGCCTGTTCGCGAGAAATTGCTTCAATTTGAACAGGAACTCAAAGACATATAGAAGTAGTTAAGGACAATAACCAAGGTCTTACTTCCTATTTCATTTAGTGGACTGTACTTTTATTTTAAATTTAATTGGGAAAGAAACTACCCTTTCGAATGCATTTAGAAGAGTTGGGCTAGAGGCAAATCCTTTCCATTAAGGTTTAGAACTTTTAATACTGTCATATTTTATTTTATTTTATCTTAGGGTAAAAAACTGTCAAGTTTGGAAACAAGTGAACCTATGCGTTGTGTGATTTGATACGTGGATTTTAATTGAGTGAAATTCTAAAGTGGATATTTTTATTTTATAATAAACGATAGGATATTTTTGTAATTTTGACCACAGTACAAAATTTCGATATTTTTGCTGAAATATCAGCGAAAATATCGTTTTTTTTGGGGTCCGAAATTTTAGCACACTTTCAAGTATATATCGTCATTTTATCGATATTTTCCTCGATAATTTCGAGGATATTTCGGGGAAAGATGCTGGCTTTTCTTGATTTTCAGACCCATCAGCCTCCATGGAGCCCTCATTCGAGGCATGAGGCTCGTTGTTTTCAATTGGGTTTAGCTTAATCTCGGCGAAGACCTCGTCGGTTTCTGGGTCCGCCATGAATTTGATGGAGGCCACTCTACAGAGAATGAGAGATGGGATTCTGAGGGAGGCTGATGAGAAATCGACATGGGCTTGAGCGTGCTCTGCGTGGCCTTGTGGAAAGTAGAAGACTTTTGAGTTCACCGGAGGCATGTGGACCATGCCTCCGGCACAGGCGTGCCATAGCTGAGGATCCAAGCTTCTCTCTGAGTCTCTCATGGTTTTGGGTCAATTTCAAAAGGTACCCGGATGAAGAAAAACAGTCAGTGTTTTTGGGTTTTTTTTGTTTTCTGGTTTTGGTTGTTGTTGTTGGTTCAACCTTTTGGTGATTCAGTGAGTAAATGTTGTGAGCAAGAAAAACAAAGATCCCAAAATGAGTTAATACAAAAACAAAGTGAATAAAAAGTGGACCTCTAACAATCACGGCATTAAATTCACAGTTTTTACCTTTGTTGGGTACAACAAAATCGTCACAATAAACAATTTAAACTCAGCGCATTGTGGAGTTTGAACCTATCCTAAGTTGGAATTTTTGCAGCCACTTAGCCACCACGCTGGCATTCACTTTGTGATAATAAGCTATAGAATATGTATTTATAATACATGCGAGCTGTTTCTCAAAATAGAAATTAACATAATTACTTATTGTTTTATATTGTTGATCAGTTACTTAATTACTTAATATAATTTATTTCTTTTCTATTTAATCCATTTAATGTTATTGATTATTTTATTATTCATTATAAGTACTTACATTACTAAATTCCCCTTCAAATTGTTACTTAATTACTTAAATCTCTATAATTATTTTCTTTGTTTACTACTTAATTCCTCCTTTGATAAATTTATTTATGTTCTTAATTAATTTTCAATCTTCACTATTATTTTTTAAGTATGGTAAAGTGCCTAATTTTCATGAAAAGTCAAGTTGGTTTAATTATTTTTCAATTTTTGATAAATAATAAATATAAGAACGTGTACCATGTCTAATGAATAATGTGAAATAAGGTTACACATGTATCTTACCATGCAATTTATAAAGTGTAAAATATTGTACTAAAAACTGATAAATAAATTACTATGGGGTGTTTAATTCTCTTCATTAATTACTTCATATTTTCTAAGTCACAGAGTTTGTATAATCAACTTAAATCACTCAAACCCACTATACAATGCATTTCCTTCCAATTTTTTGTGTCAAAATAATAGATGATTGGCTAAATAAACTTCTTCTAATGTTTCATTAAAAATTTCCATGTATTTATCACAATTTCCATGGTTTTTATTCAATTTTTATCGATATCGATATTTTCTTGATATTTCCATCGATATTTCTGTGTTTTTGAACCACCGATATTTCCGAAACTATCGATATTTAAGACCTTGATTTTGACAACCATCCAATGCACCCACAATGCACAACATACAACACGTAACTACTATTGGGCTAGTCACACCAAATTATCGAACTCATCATAAATATATATTGTTATCGACATCCATGCGAGTTTAACTTAAGACCTTTCCAAACTAAGTTGAGACAAATATTACTAGATCAAAGGCTAGTTGGTTCTTAAATGAAAATTTTTATGTTAATAAACTTACGGCATGTTTACTAATTTGATTTTTAATCCATAATCAGATTAGAAGGAATTTAATTGAGGAGTAGTTGGATTGATGAGAGTTTGATTCCAGATTTCTATTGAAGTTGTTTACTAAATTCACATGAATTGAAATTGAAACCAAATTGATTACTAAAATGCCCTCGTTGTGTTAAAGTAGATGACAAATTTAGAAATATTTTAAAATTGTGTGAGGATATAATGGGTAAAAAATATGAATTTCTAATGGGTTAGTTATTCAAAAATTAGAATACCACTTCCCACTCAAGAGTTCAATTCTTCCAAAATTAGGAGTTGAATTATTGATTTTGTGTGGATCCCACTCACATTTTGATTCCTCCATGTGAAGTAAACGCATGAGTATCTGTAATACCAATTAGTGGCGGAGCTAGTATTTCACATTAGAAGGGGCCATTCATAAAACTTGTCTTCTCTTCATAATTATCATGAATTTCATATTTTAAATTGGTTAAATACTAATTTCATCATCTACACTATTAAAAATTAATCATTTATATTCCAACAGAGAAAGGAAAAAAAAAAAAAGGAGAGTTTTTAAAGCGCAATATTAAGGTACCTAACTCATACATGAAAATAATGAGAAAAATAAAAAATTCACAAAGCTTTAAACAAAAGAGGAAGAGAAAAATACCAAACTCCTGAAGCTTTAAAAAATTTGGGAGTTTTTAGTGCAAATATCATAAACTAACCTAGAAGATTAAGGGAGATGAGCAGAAGGGAGATCAATAAATTTTATGGTTTATTTGTATACAAAAAGAACCTTATATATTATTTTATTTTAAGGTAAATATCCTAAAACTAATATAATATATTGTAATATTATATATAATATATAATATACAACTAAAAGAGGTAAAAATGAAGTAGGGACCTGGGACCATACTGGTCCCATGCTGGCTCCGCCTCTGATACCAATACAACTCCTTATTTTGATTATGATTATGAATTAGTAAACATACCGTTAGGGTATTTTTCCTTTACCACCCGAATTTGAGTTTTGCATTAATTTCTTACTCAAATTTTGATTAAACTATATTTTGATTTAACTATAGTTTCATACTCTCATTGTCGCCCTTGCCATTAATTAACATGCGATGTGCTTCTATATATTCTTTAAGGAGTTGCTTATGGCAATATGCTTTAGGAATAACTCCTACATATTTTCATGGGTTAATGACAGTTTAGTATCCTATGGCTGCACTCGTAAGACATGTTAGTCATTGTCCTCTCGATTTTTAAAATTAGATACCCCTGTCTTTTCAATTTGTTACAATATGGTTTTGCCGTTAGGGTTTCTGTCAGATCTTCCATTTGTTGCCTACATGGCACTTATGGGTCTCACATTTTTGCTTTTTTGTTTGTTTGTTTAGGTGTAATAAAATATTCATACCATATTTAAAATCAATTAAAAAAAAAGAAATTTAAAAATAAAAAAAAATCCATCAATCCCAATTTCTTCTCCCTCATTTCCCATGACAACCAACCCCCACCCGCAACCCACCCCATCTTAATCTCCACCTCAACACCTACCCTTTGCTGCCCCTGTAACCCATCTGCCACCACAACCACCCAACCTTGCCCACCTAACCAGATCCACCACCTCCCCTATCTCCCTCCATTTGTCGCGACTGTAAAACGCAATTCTCAGACCACGCAATACTCATCCCTTTTCTCAACCTAACCCATACCCTTGAGACAAAATAAGTGTAAAAGAAACACAACACATGAAAAATCAATCAAACCTAGACATCAAAACTCAAACCCAGATACCAAAAATTCAATTAAACTCAACCCCAACATCTCCGCTTATCAGTAACATCATTGAAGATTCTTGAATCAAAGGCGAAATTTGATTTGGGGAAATATAACAAATCAAAGAAATTTGGGACTTTTGCGCTGGGAGTTTTCAAAATTCACGATATTATATATGTATAGGAAAATTCTTCAATAAATATTTCTAATGGTTGGTTACATATTTCTAATTTTAGACGTTAGATTGCATTCATTAGATCTGTTGGTAGATTTAATATGCAACATATATGCAATCGGGGAGAAGGGGTGGGTTTGAAAGCCCCTCCTTTTTTGCGATTTTATCTTCAGCTTTGACGGAGGTGAAAACCTCCTCAGAGAGAGAGAGAGAGAGAGAGAGAGAGAGAGAGAGAGAGTGTGTTGTGTGTGTGTGTGTGTGTGTGTGTGTGCGCACGCGCGCGTGTGTGCGTGCTAGGTTGTCGGGGTCTATGGGGGTTGGGGTTTGGAGTGAGGCTACTGGGTTGTGCTCGTCGGGCTTGGGTAGGATCGGGATGATAGAGTGGCAGGGCCACCCTAGATATCTTTTTAAGTGGGGATGGGTTGGGCTTTTTTTTTATCGGGTTGGGGGGCTGGTGGGTTTTTTATATATATAAATATTTATTTTAAATTGATTTAAAAATATTTTATGAATATTTTATTACTACTAAACCAAAAAAAGAAGAAGTGGGATTCATAAGTGTCATATGGGCAACTAACGGAAGATTTGATGAAAATCTTAATGAAGGAATTACATTGTAACAAACTGAAAAAATCAGGGTATGTAATTGCAAAAATCGAGAAGACAGATACTAACATATCTTATGAGTGCAACTGCAGGGTACTAAATTGTCATTAACTATATTTTCATCTAAATTGTCATTAACCTTATTTTCATTTAGTGACTACGGGCCAGTTTGATATTGCTGTGCTGTGA